TTGATTGATTGATTGATTGATTGACACCAAAAATGATCTTAGCACAAATGCCAGACCTGGAAAGGTCAGAGGCCTGCTGCTTCTCCCAGGAGAGAGGAAACTTTTTGGTTGTCTGTGGCGATTTCTTTGTACAGATTGTAACTTTTTTTTAATTTCCCCCCTCCCTGTCACTTTAATATATGTTCATGGTAATGTGTAAGATATTTCTTTTCCTTATTTTGGTTGCGAAGACCCTTCGGAACACATTCCTGTATAAAGTATTTTGCACTATTTAAAGAAACCCATATGGATGAAGTCAGGTTGTGCAATATAATGGAGAGTCACAATGTTCATCATTGTACCTGTAATGTAACTAATAATTTTAAATGTACTATTTTAAATATGTAAAATAAATTTTCACCATGAGCATGTTTTAATGAGGTTAAAGACCAGTTGACCCTTTATCCCACCGTCATTATTCTCAGACTTTAAAAGGACAAATGAATCTTCTTCTTCCTCTTCCTCCTCCTCCTCCTCCTCCTCCTCTTCTTCTTCTTCTTCTTTTTCCTTCTTTCTTCTTCATTTTTACTGTTTTAGGAGTTGGTTGAATGCATTGGCAGTTTTTGCCTACACAGAGTGCCTCTGTCATTAAAGCTCTAATCCTAGCATTCCCTTCTAAACAGCCCCTGTTGGTTTTCTCTAACTTATGAGATGAGGAATATGCAGATTGGATGCTGTCCAGCAGGTTCCCAGCTACTGGGCAACAATGTGATACTGATGTTAATAAACAAGTAGAATAGAGACCATGCTTGGTGTGTGTTCCCCATGCTCCCCACGCTGTGTCCCCACCCACAGAATGGCCAAGGTGATTCCCTGAGGTACCTGAGCAGTGGCGCCAGCAGCACCAAGCTGCCTTGGCCCTTCCTGTAAGTCAAGGGGAAAGCTACAGGTGTCACCCTAGCCTTACCAAGTAACCACAGGCCCTGAGGGGGTATAGGCCCAGTCCCCTTTATTCTGAAGACATTTGGTTTTGGTGCCCTTTAGGAAGCCTTGGAAATAAAGGCCCTCAGAACACTGAAGGTCTTATTAATCAAGTACTTTACAAAGCCAGTTCTTAATGATTAATGCTCTGATTACCCAGGCACTGAGCATTTCTTCCTCCTCACCTTTGAGTCTGTTGGTCATGAATTCCCCCTTCCCTGGTGGAGGGAGGTCAGGCTGGGGAAAGAAAACACATTGAGATACACACTAGTCGTTTTGGTTCCTTTGCACAGGGTTGGTGGAGTGAAGGAAAGCAAGTGACTAAAAGTGGTATTGATGTTTATCAGTAAAGGCCACACACCATCCTCCCCAGGGCCTCCTATGACCACAGGGGTCAGAGTTGGTTATTATGCCCATAGGACAAATATCATGGAATCCCTGTGACCACATCAGTCCTCTGGCTTGTGTCCAAGAGATGGAAACTCCCCAAACCATGATGACGAGTGCTTCTGGGAAGAAGAATCTGAAATTGAGCCTATGCTGCGATTTAACACTATTACGATCTTCCTTCTGAACATGATTTTTGACATTTATCATTTCTTACCAAGCATACTGAAGACCCCAGAGTGTGGTAGTAAATGTAGGAGCATACCCAACATGTACACACATGTACACATTGTGCTGTCTGCCCTGGGATCCTTTTTGGCAGGGATCTCCCTGACTTGAGATCTTGTGAGAAGGACCTAGGCACGTGGGTTTGAGTAGTCAGAAAACAGGGGTGAAGGTCTGCAGTTAACAGAGAGATACTGTCTAGGGGTAGCTTCCATGCCTTTTCTACAGACCAGTTGGAGCAAGGTGCTGGGACACAGCTCATCCTAGAGAGGCTGCAGGCAGTAGGTACAAGACAATGTCAGGCCCACTTTTCCGAAAGATACAAGAACCTGGCTGAGGTTGAGCCTATGTATATGGTAATGAGTATTTTTAGAGCACTTTTCTTGGGATAACCTAAAGTCCTAACATGTGTAGAAGGTTATCAGAAAGAGGTTAGCCATATATTTTGGAGTATCTTGCTTCCTTCTAGATCTCACTGCATCTCTCCCTGAAGAATGGTTCTCTTCATAGAGAGCCCTGTTTCTGTAAGGCCACATTTGACAAGGAGACTCTGATGAGAAACCAGACCACTTAGCTCAAGACAAAAATTGTCACTTCATCCAAACCCTGCGATCACACCCAGAAATGATGATGCCTGCTCAGGGACCGCAATGCTGTTTGTGGCTTCACTGTCTTTGTCTTTGGGTCCTGATAGAAGGAGAGCTCAGTGGTTGTACTCTGAGTTTCCCTTTATAGCTCTGTGAAGAAGGAGCGCCCAAACCCTCGGAAACAGAAGTTAGGATGGTGTGAAGGGGCATTGCCACTGTCACCTACCTGGGGCCACATACTGGTTCTTGTTCCAAGAGAGAAACTCTAGGATCTCTTAGTAGCTGACAGAACTCTATACAGTGCTACCTCGGTTCACAAACACTTCTGTTCCCAAACAATTCCATTCTCAAACAAAAACATTTGACAAAATTTTGCATCCATTCACAAACTCCACATTGGGTGACAAACACAACCACAGCCATCTTCCCTATACAAACCCAAATGTGACCATCTTCCCCAAAATCATAAAAGCATATTAAGTTCATGAACTGAGGTACCACTGTATTCACAAACACTGAATGATACAGAGGACATGGTCTGAAATCCTTTGCCCTAAAGTATCCAGTATCAATCATTTATTAAGTCATTTGCCCCCCCCAAAAAAACTCTCCTACAATGTTTGAGAGTGGCCATGTGCAAATAGATATAATGAGATGGGAACCACAACAGTCATGTTTTGGGATCTTCATATCAGGGCCTGGGGAAACACCAGTAGCATATGCACAATAGAATATACTTACCTTGTCTTTCCTATTCTTCCCCTACTCCATTCCTTCCCATCTCCCCTGCCCTTATGAGAGGAATTCCTCATTCCTCAAAGACTTCATCAGATGATCTAAAACCTCTCAGGGTAGAGTTTAGTAGCCGAAAACTCATATTTTTTTCCACATGCTTTAGTCACCTTCCAGGAAGGCTCAGAGTTTATCCTCACTTCTACTCGGAGGTAAGGTCAGCCACCAGCTACCACAGGAACTGGTATACAGCTTTGGGGCCTCTGGAGCTGACTGGAGCATCTCACCTGACTCACCCAAGGGTGGTGAGTTCACCCACTGCTTCATTCTGCCCCAACCTGCCATTTTGATTGGTGCATTTTTTGGTACAACAGGAAGTCATGTTCATGGCATACTCTACGCATGAGAAAGCGGGCGGAAGTGGAGAACACGGGTAAAAATGAAGCCACAGGGCCTCGTAAACCCAAGGATATTCTGGGCAACAAAGTCTCTGTTAAAGTGAGTAAGGTATTCTGGAGCTGTGTCCTTCTCATCTACTCCCACCCAGCAGCATTCTCACAAGGCAGTTTGGGTGGATGGGGATATTTTATTTTTTGCCCAGTATGGGGACCAAAGGGGAAGTAGTTTAGCAGGATTTTGCATGCAAGATCAATGTATTTTTGATTTTTGATTTCTCCTGGCAACTTCAATTCAAGTAAGTACCTTTTTTCTTTTGTACCTTTCTCTTCATACTATGCAGATGTTTTATAGCAAAATTACCTGCAGCATTATTTTCTTAGAAGTGAAAGTTGCTTGATTCATATCAAATTTCTCCAAGCTGCCTATTCATATCCTGGGTTTGGGAATACACGCAGGTTAAAAGGATTAGGGATGCCCTTCAAACCCCTGGCCCTGTACAGGCTGAGGTTTGGAGTTTAAGGGCCACTGTGTCCTTGGTAAAGCTTTATTTCTTTTCCCCAGAGTTCAGACAATAACAACTTTAAGCATTTTCCTTGCCTCCCTTGTGTACTGACATGGTAGGTAGGCAAAATCTGTCTATTACTTCAAACTCACAGACCTTGTTTTCTCCCATTTTGAAACAATATTACCTGTTTTAAGTTGAGCCCTCTGAAAAAAAATATGCCTCTGGACAGTGGAAATTCAGTGCTAATTAATTTTGTTGCAATATGGGATTATCTACCTGGCACTTTCTATGTCTTCTTGAGGAAAATAACAACTGAAAACCATTCTTACATTTCTCCTTGGGGAAAAGAAATTACATGTTCTCCTTTCTTATCTGGTAAGCCCAGCCTCACAGAAGACAACACTTTAAATTTCTCAGCACTCATGCTTCATCCAGTCGCTTCCATTGCTCTTTCCCGAGAGATGAGCAGCTTCCCACAACCCCAGCCTCCTCTCCCTGAAAAGAGCACGCTCCTGCCCCACCTTCAGAGCACCTGGTTGTTTCTCTGCCCACTTTCCCATTTCCCACGCTTCTTTGACATGCTCCTCTCCCTAACCAAAGCAACTGCATTCTAACTGTGTTCTCTTTCTTCCCCTCCCTCATGCTGCCAACCAAGGAGACGAACAGTTCCGAGGAGTCAGAGTGTGATGATCTTGACCCTAATACTAGCATGGAGGTAGAAGAAGCTCTGTTGTCCTATTTCCTACAATAATTGCCTTAAAAAAATGTCTTCTGTAATAATGACCTTGCTAAAGTGATCAGCCCTGCAAGGATACATTGTGATGTTAGAGCATCTTTGGGTGTCCCATCCGAACTAAGGGGGAAAAACCACCTTAATTCAGTTTTACTTTTGGTAGGAAACTACCTCAATATCTTTTTAAAACCAAAAATGTGTAGTTTTCTTCGATGCTTGCTTAATATTTGCTTCTTTAGCTGGTTTGGCTTTATGTAGAAAATATCTAACTTCATTATGTGAAACTTGGAACATAGTTTTTCATGGCACCCACTGTAAATGGTGGTTACTTCCCAGCTAAATGATGAGCTCTTTTAGTGTTTTATTTCTCCTTCATCTGTTTTCCCCCCTCTCCTTTTTTCTCTTTTTTTTCTTTCCCCCTTTATCTTCTTCATCTGGTTCTTTTTTACTGGGATCTGTTCTTCCCTGAGTGCCCCAGCAAAATCATGGGTGAAGTGAGGTGAATCATGGGTGAATTGTGGGTGACCTGGTGCCTAGTCACTGTGGATAACTGGTTGATAGCAAATGAGGTATGATAAGAGAAACTCCCAGGCACACCCTTGCATTGTTCTGGGGCATATAGGCAGTGCTGTGCCCACCGTATGAAGAAAAAGAAGTGCTAGGCACAGCCTCCCTCCATGGCCTTGGGAGGGGTCCCTTTGGCGGTAGTGATCACAGGGGACCCTCCTGCACTCCAGGTTTACATCGGTGTGGGAGATGGACCAACACCTGTACCAGCGGGAGCATCAGCTTCTGGCTTCTTCTAGTCTGTTAGGCAATAGAAGCATGGCTCTTACATGGTTTGCACTGAGACAACCATCATAAATTTACAAACACTAGAGAACTGGAGCAAAAATAGAACTGGGTATCCTTGCCACTTTGTATCTCAGGTTAAATTATAATGCCTTTCTCCAAATCTGTTTACCCACTCCCAATCACAGGTGAGAGTAGTGATCTCATCTAAATGCAAAAATAGGGAATATTTTTTAAAAGCCTTTTCCTTAGCCATGGAATGATGGCACATACCTGTAATCCTTAGCTATTTAGGCTAAGGCAAGAATATCACAAGTTTGAGGTCGGCTTGGGCAACTGAGCAAGACCCTGTCTCAAAATAAAAATTTTTTTAAAAAACAAAAAGAAGGGCTGAGATATAGCCCAGTGGTAGAGCATTTGCCTTGCATGTACAAGGCCCTGGGTTCAATCCTCAGAACTGGAAAAACAAATGAATAAAAAACCTTTTCCTTTGAATAGCCCTAAGCTTTTTACTTACCTAGATGGACTTTGATTATTCTTATTCTGATTTGACCTAATTCCAAAGGAGCCTACCTTCATACTATGACAATTGCCATAAAACCCAAGACCATGAGGTCTAAGCATCCATAACTCTGCTGTGGAAGAAGCCAATGGAGTTGAATGAGGCCAGGGACAAGTGGTTGAAGTGGGAGTTCTGCCAAGATAAAATAGTCCCCTGTGGGTATGGGTGTTGCCACAGCTAAATCTGGCAGGTGTGGGTCAGTGGAGTTCTCCACTGAGGGAAGATGTGGATATGGCCTTTGTAACCTAAATATACCGTAGGGAATGAGGAAGCCAGGGAAAATTTCTGGCTCTGCTTTCCTTGCATTTCATAGGATAAGCACCTATAGCCATGGGTTCAATCGCTGGCAGCTGATAGATGCCAGTAGTACCTTATCTCCAGGCCTAAATGTTGCTAGCATGTGTTGAAGACGCCAACTACAAACAGAAGGTAGGGAAAAAGGCATGTATCTGTGTTTAGAAGATAATTTGGGATCTTGTCCAGCTCTGGTGAGCTAGGGAAAGAAGAGTACACTCACACACACACCCCTTGGTCCTCTTTTGCTAATTGCATATATTTCTAAGGCTCTCATTTATCTAAGGCTCCTAGATGTGGGCTGAGATGGACCCTTAGGAGGTGGTACTGAGTGTGTAAGCAAAGACATTAGAATGTTCGTGCTGAACAGAGGAAAAAGGTAAAAATTGTGTTGATGCATGTCCAAAAAGTTTTCAAATAAAATAGTTAAATTCAATACGATAGTTAAGGCACAAATTTTTGTTTAGGTAGAAGTTTTAATTAACCCACACCCTTGAGGGGACATGTGGTTGGAAGTTTCTAGGTGTATGTGCAGCTGCTGTGCATACATGCAGACCCCCGTGACTGTCAGAGCACTTCTGAATGTGCTGCTGTCTCGAACTTAACTCTGGGCACATTCACAGGCACAGAGGGAAAGCCAGCATCTTGGCACTGCTAGTGTAGTATTTTCAGACACAAATAAGATACACAGTCAACTTAATCAACTTTGAGCTGAGGATTTTCTCAAAGGATATGTGTAACTTTGTTGCAATAAACGTAAAAGAAGAAGATAATGGCTAGGCGTGTGTTGCAAGATCCAACCTGAAATGTAGGTGGGCAAGACATTTCGTGAAACCGATCATCTGGGTCTTGTTCGGGACCCAGCCTGGGCTCCCAAGCTCACCTCCATCTTCTAAACTTGATGCTCCTGTAAGTGCTGTCCCCAGGAGTGTGTCTTGTGCTCTCATTGAACTGAACTGCACCTACCCTGGCCTGTGCTGAGCTTCTGTTCCTATGACCACTGCCACCATCCTGATACTGTGTGCCTGTTCTGGGACAGGTCTCCAAATGTCAGATCCCGCCCTGCAGACTAACTGCCCTTGACCCAGAGTTAGATATTCATTCCAGTCCTAGCTGCGTATGGTGGATCTCCATGGGAATGACATCATCAAAGTGGTCTACTTCCTCTCAGTTGGTACGCTGCAGGGTCAGTTTCCTGATGTCATTATTTACACACCAGATGCTTGCCAACTCCAAGCACACCTCCCTGTCCCACTGTGGTGTTTTTAGAAGACATAGGCATATTCTTGAAAGCTAATTAAAAGAAAATAAAGTACTTTGAACCCTAGGAATCTGATTGACAAAGGGCACCCAGTTATGTACAGGGGGCCAGTTGGCTCTAGTGCTCACATTCTCTTCCTTGCCCTGTAGAGACAGATTTGTGGATATTCTCCAGCACAGCTCCAACTTCCAGCACCACAGGCCCCAGCCACAGCAGTGTTGGCTCCAGGTCAATGCCATCCACTGTGGTCTAGCTTCCTGCCCATCTGTGACTGTACTTCCTGGAAAGCTGTTCTAAAATTGACGAGTATCTGTCCATAATTCAGTCTTACTTTGCACTGGTTAAACTTTTGGGTCAGAGTAAAAGGGGTACAGTATATGTGAAAGAAGTTTTTCTACATGAAAGAAGAGCTAAATCAGGGTAAAAACCAAACACTGGGGTGCCTTGGGACCAAGTGAATTCATTTTTTCCAGCACACCTTAGACTCCTGATTGCCGTTTACTGGCCAGGGACCACATGCCCACCTGCCAGCTGCTTCATTCATGCCCTGCTGCTGTCTGCCTTCACTCTCCAGGCTGGAGCCAGAGTTCAAGAGACTAGGGTCAGAATCTGCCCTCTTTTAGCCAGTGTCCATCTCTAAAGACCTGAGTCTTTCTGGGCAGTACTGGATTTGCCCTAGGACCCAGGCTACACAGGTTCCCACATCCATGATACCCCTAAAGAGTTCCCTAAGGGCTGTGTCAGTGCTTGCATTTTCATACCCATTTCTCCACCTACCTAGACATCTTGGGGTTGTAAGCCTCCCAGACTCGAGCCTTTGTGTCCAGTGATGAAGATTCTCAGCCCAGCTTTTGTAAATCTAATTACATATATCTTAATTTTTTATAAAAGCCCAGTACCACTCCTAGCAAAGAAGCTCCATCCACCAGAGTAAGAGGTTGTCATGGTTCCAACAAGACTCCCTCTCTGCCCCAGACGTTTAGTGTGCTGCCAGCCTCATCCATGACCCAGACTAAGTGCAAACATGGCCCTCAGTCACACAGCAGCCGCCAGACACTTCTCTGGGAGTGAGGACAGGACAGGGATCTCAGGGAGGGCTCTGAAAGATGAGTGGAAAACGGAAGCTAATTTTAGAGAAAATTTCCAATCAGGGCAAGAATCAGTCTCAGAGTCAACAAAAACTTAGAAACCTTTAGTTAACCCCATCCCTTCACAGTTATTTTTTTTTTAATTTTATATTGGTACACATTTGCAGTACATAATGATTATATTCATGGTGACGAGTTGGCACACGTACATAATACAACTTTTTACTTCCCCCTTCATTCTTTTGCTGTTATAAAATATAAATAATTTTAAATTGACCGTATTAACCTCTTTTTTTGAGACAGGGTCTCACTTTGTAGTACAGGCTGGCCTTGAACTCACTATGTAGCTCAGGTTGGCCTCGAACTCACGTCAATCCTCCTGCCTCAGCCTCCTAAGTGCTGAGATTACAAGTGTGTAGCCTATGCCTGGCCATTTTAACCATTTTTAAGAGTATAATTCAGTGGCATTAAGAACCTTCACAACAGGGCTGGGTATTTAGCTCAGTGGCACTCAGCCTGCCTTGAAAGCATAAGGTCCTGAGTTCAATCCCTGGTACTAAAAAAAAAAAAAAAAAAAAAACCTTCACAACATTGTGCAACTTTTACCATTATCTATTTCCAGAACTCTTTTGCCATCCCAAACATACTATGTGCCCACCCAGCAACACCTCTCTACTCACCTCTGCTCCCCGCCCCAACCCCTGCCAGCCTCTTCACTTTGGAAAGAGAACCGGAGGCTCAGAAGCTGTAACTGTTAGAAAACTAGAAGTTGCCCTGAGGCAGTCTGGCTTTCCCTGGCTCTTGTCCCCCACCACATGCCACATGCCTTGCTGCTGCAGCTCACGCACCTCACCTCTGGTTGGATTTAATCTCAAATGCAGACTTGGATAGCTGAGAAGACCAGCTAGTGCCAGTTTTCCTGTATAAATGTGTTACTCAGTTCTCCAGCTCAACAAAGAGGATATCATTTCTGCCAGTCTGGTTT